CAAGACTACACTACAATTAATAACGAATGGATTGAAACTTCTTCAAACAGGATTTTCATACTTGTAGGGGACAGCTGACACTTGTTAATCCACAACTTAATTTTATTTGGAGGATGAAAAATTATATTACAGTATTTACAAAGATAATATAATAGATTTATCATTGCTTTATGAGCAATGCAATACTTCTGGCAGTGCCAAAATGTGCAAGTCAAAACAATTGTGCCAAATTCAATTTTTATTTTTTATTATCACCAGTTTAAATGGAAGATTTTAAACTTTTTTCTAAAACTTAAGCCACTCGCTAAGCACAAAAATATTTTATAGTAGTGTGTAGGTGTACTGTATGCATTTTTTTTTTTATCTTTTTAGGCATAGCTTTATTGTGCACTTATAAGTTACACCACGTTAACAGGCTTTTGCAATTTAAGAGGAAAAAAGGCTATGTTCCATTTTTCGGCGGGAACTTTACCTGTTGTATAAGAGCGGCCCTCCTGTATACAAGCCCCTTCTCCATGCATATGCTCTACTTTTATCAAGATATACGAACTGAAAACAGACACCAGGCTGAATGACTAGAGTACCTCAAATTCATTATCTGTTCTCTGTACTGAACTGAAGCAGCCACAGGCTGGCAAAAATGTTGAAAATAGACACCTAAATGTTTCATTATCAGCTTGGTTTTCTAAACCATTGATATAAACTAGCTCTGGTTAGCAGAACTAAAAGGCTAACAGTGCAAGAGGTTTTGCAATAAGTTTGGCCCCCCCCCCCATTCCATAATTCACTAAATTTCAAGGTCCATGGCTATACCCCAATATAATTATATACAGCAGAACTGTATAAAATTTGGTTTCCACATTACAGAATTAAAAAAAAAAAAAAAGGCATACAACTGGATGAAGGGGGGTGGGGGATTATTGGTAGAAATTAAAATTGGGACAGTGAAAATGCCTAGCCACAATACAAGATTTTGGATTTTTAACCCAGTGGGTTAAGCCACCCAGGATAACCCAAGTCAGTAGGTCACCGAGAACTGACTTGTTTCCATTGGAGTCCTTAAGTCTGTCCCTCAAGATGCGACCCCACACCAATCTAAAAAACTGATACCTACTTACTGCTTGGTGAACAGGGACAGCAGGTGTAAGGGAATGTGCCCAGGATTTACAGGATGTAAAGCACCCTTCTGGCAAGACAGTGATGGAGTGAATGATGGTGAAAGTTTTTCTTTTTCGGGCCACCCTGCCTTGGTGGGAATCGGCCAGTGTGATAAATAATAAAAAGTTTATATTTGGTAATTAATGTTGCTCTTTTGCATATTGTGATAATTATAGTTTACAACAGTCAATATTAAGTAGACAGTGCTGTAGATACTTATGCAAATTGGAGGGGGAAAAAAAAAAACTAACCTAATGACCTAACTAATGCAACCAAGTTGCTTGGTTGCAAGCTACAGTTGTAGCTTGCAAAATTCCGAAATTTTTTTTTTAGGTGAATTTACATTTATCACAATAAGAATGGCACTGCAAATAAGAGAAGTGCACATATGCAGCAACTGGCCAGGAACATCATGGTTTCATGTTGCATTCTAACAACCGAGTCAACTTTAATGGCTCTGCAGAATTCTAGCCAAATCCTGAGGAGTCTCCTGGTGTCGCGCAAAAAAAAACTTTCCTTATGAAATGATAGAATCTTTTCCCCGATGGTAACACCAAAAGAATGAAATTTGATGGAAGACTGACTGAATTACACTTGCAAAGTTAGCGACCTCGGCGATATTTACGAATCCGAGATTTTGCCCACTTTGAACCCTATTTTTGGCTAATTCCATTGTTCCAGTCGACCAAACTATTTCTTTAGAATTCCATTTTTTCTATCAACTGAGTACAAGAAATTGCCTATTTACCAATTTCAACTGCCCAATAACATTCAGAAATTTGCAATTTGGCCAATTTCACAAAAATAAAATATGACAATTTTAAAATAGGGTTCAGAAGGAATAATGCAGACATTCCTGGCTCTAAAATAAATTTTTGTTCATCAGTCACGTCTCCAGGCTCCTCTGATATTACTCTTGCTTTCTATGAATTTTTATTCAAACAAAAAAATAGAAGATTTACTGTTATGAAGACTACTGCAACATTGTAATAATTGTATAAAAAACGTCAACCCATTCATGACTGCATATTCGAATGGCTACTTGGACATTTATTGGATAACGACTTACACTTTTGAACATCGGCAAAAATCAAACATTTCCCCTACTTTGAGCTAATTTCCAGGTTCTTTTTATAGTAAAACCAATCAAAATCACCTATTTCTATAATGTGTTTTCCATTCTATCACACGAGACCACAAGAACGAGAGGCATTTTAATTAACAAAAAAAACTGGTAGACTTTCTTCTCGTTATGCACTGCGTGCTGCAGAATTTTTTTTATATGGTGCACACTGACCACACAGACCCATTCTCTTGCACGTGGGCCTACCAACTTTCTCCTGCTTGAAGCCGCTAGAATTTATGAGTATATATACGTCAAATGGTGGCTCATAAGAAGTATATATACGACTGAAACAGTCGAAGGGTCAAGGAAGGAGCACGGCATCTGACCTAGTAGCACAAATTAGCCAGGTCCAATTCACACCCATCCACACCCACTCGTGTATTTATCCAGCTTATTTTTAAGACTACGCTTTTTTGCCTCTAATTATAGTGGGGAGTTTGTTCCACTCATCCACAACTATTACCAAACCAGGGGTTCCCTACATCCTTCCCGAATCGGAATTTTTCCAACTTGAAACCAATGCTGCAAATCCCATCTTGGCTAGATATTTTTAGTATGCTATTTACATCCCCTTTATTTATTCCCATTTCTATGCCTTTCTGGAGTGCAGACTCAGGGCCCTAAGTCTATCATCATAGGGAAGAGTTCTGATACACGGGATAAACTTTGTCATCTTCCTTTGTACACTTTCCAGAGCATTTATACCCATTCTGTAATAGTGACCAAAACTGTGCAGCATAATCTAGACAAGGCCTAACCAAGGATATATAGAGTTGAACAACCTGGGGACTCCTTTTATGCCTCTTTTGCAATCTTCCTTTGAAAATTGTGAAACTGCACATCCAATCAGTGCCTCTTATCAAATCACAGCATTCCAGCAATATACTAAAAATTTTTCATTCATCCACTGTTGAAACTTCACCTACATGGTAGGCTTTTTCAGCCAAATACAGAATAATTATAGACATTAACAGCAAGGTAAAAATGAGGTGGTCACTCAGCCCAGAGAAGAGTTTAGCTTTATAGTCCAGAACAAAGCTTAAGCACTATAATGGAGTCTTGTATAGTGCCAAAGGCAAGGCATGGAAAAGATTTAGGAGCCCTAGGGCAAGCCTACTGGCCCATGCTAAGCAATGCAAGTCCCTCTCGAATTCAAATCTTTCTTTCTCATAATTAGTGGTTATGCAACGAAGTTGTGGAAGATGTTCTTTGTATGAAGACACCACTGTTCTTGGGTCAGAAAGGTATAATATAGTACACAAGGCAAGTAGACGTTGGTGAAACACTTCAGTAATAAGATACCTTACTGTTGCACATGAATCCTACTCTTATAATTGTTGGCATTTTATACAATTTCCTTTATTATACCCAATTTTTAGGAGAGACTCGCTGCTGCAAGCACTGTTTTGGTTAGACTTTTCAATATTTAAATCCCCCTTATTGATTATCTTCTAATTATATTCCAATCATATCCCCCTAAATTCTATGCATTTCCAGAGTGCAGATTCAGTGCCCTCAGTCTATCCTTGTTGGAAAGATTCTTGATACATGGTATCAACTTCATCCTTCTGTTTGCCAGCCCATGTTCATTCTAATACAGAAACCAGAACTGCACAGCTTAATTTAAATGAAGCTTTACCAAGGATATAAAGTATGACTTAAGAAATCGTAATGACACGATTGCAAATAAAAACTTGCATTTGTGGTCACAGAGGTGCCTGTGCTAACTTTCCTATGGTGTAGAAATATACCTAGTTGGATGAATCTTATTGTGGCTAGCTGGTCTAGTGGCTAGCGCGACGGGCTGGAGTTTTGAGACTATGACCGCGGGTTCAATCCCGGCCGGGGGTATGGTTGATATAAAGTATGACCTGAGGACCCTTATGCTCCTTCATACGAAGCATAAAATTTTGCTAGCTTTAGTGGAAACACTTACCCAGTTGTCTTGGCTTTAATAATATTAATGGTAACCACAATGTTTTTCATACACTGACCTACGTTTAGTTTATAGGTGCTATAGCTTTTTATCTATATTTAAAACAAAGAACTATTGCATCTGTCAATTCTCCGACCATAACATCAACCTATCAAGGTCAATTTTTAGTTTTTTTTTCGCTATCATACTGACGGGCTTACATCAATGTCAAACTTTCTTACATTGCTATTACCTTTAAATAAGGTATGTACAATCTGAACAAAGGTCCCCAATATTAACCATGCTAGAAAGTACAAGTGTTCGTAGTGACAGTTTTTAAAAGCTCGGTAATGATTGCAACATGAAGTTACATAATGTACATAAATTTGACATTTTAAACCGTTAACGCAATAACTAAACATTTAAAAATAAATTACACCACAGTAAGTTTGGCAATGAACAATATCGTTTCATATATATTATAAACATATACCCACACGTAAAATAAATAAATACAACAAAAATGTTTCAGCGCCACGTAGCTACACCCAATCAGCTGACTGACTCATATCATACACACAATCCAACAATAAACGCGCAAAGGTTTGTAAGCACTTTACAAAATAGGACAAAAAGGCATCACATCATTAATTTAAGAAGTAATATACGCAGCAAGAGTAAAGATAACACCTCAGGTGGGTTAAAGACCACGTGCTCCACACGCTCGCCATAGCTGCCGGTACGCCAGCCAAAGGCCACATAATTTGTATTTACACAATTCTCACACATGCATGAACTTACCAAGGACTTCTTTTTCTTTAACAGGTGCCTTGGGTTGTTCTTCAGGCTGTGTTTGTGTCTCCGGGTCCGCCATGATGGTATAGATGGAAAATGGGTGGTTATTTGGGTGATACCCCTTCCCTGATGTTTCCTTCACTCGGCTCTTATTCTTCCAGCCAACCTGGCACGAGGCAGCCGCAAATACACCTCGGTACAGATGCACGCTGATTGGTCGCTGAAACTCTACACGCTATGCAACGCTAAGCACTATTGGCTTACCTTCAACCTTTATTATTACATGAGTTTTCATTGGTCAAACGTTGTTGTACTGTATTCGCTTTCTCCTAGACTTTTATGCTATACGGGATCTCATTTCGAATTTTAAAACTCGTCAATAGAAAAGTAAAAATACAAGTTTTCATTTTATATTTTTATAATGTTAAAAAACTACTTTCGTCATGGTTCATTAGTTCTCATTAAAAAACTTACTTTACTTAGTCGAATTATTAGATGAAGTTCATGTTAAAACTAATAGTCTTAGTTACTGTATTTAAAAACATATTTGATTAGCTAAACATCACTATCCACGCACAAACACACATACACACACACACATATACACACACAAACACACATACACAAATTCCCCCTACACACACACAACACACACATACACTACACACACACACACACACACACACACACACAACACACACACACACACACACACACACACACACACACACACACACACACACACACACCAACACACATACACTAACACACACACACACACACACACACACACACACACACACACACACACACACATACACTACACACACACACAACACACACACACACACACACACACACACACACACACACACACACACACACACACACACACACACATACACAGTGACAGTATGAAAATGACATAGCATCGAGAATCAAGACTGACCCGAAACTGTTGTATAGCCACATCAGGAGGAAGACAACAGTCAAAGACCAGGTGATCAGATTAAGGACAGAAGGTGGAGAACTCACAAGAAATGATCAGGAGGTATGTGAGGAGCTGAACATGAGATTTAAGGAAGTTTTTACAGTAGAGACAGGAAGGGCTGTGGGAAGACAGCACAGAAGGGAACATCAAGAGGGAATATACCAACAAGTGTTGGATGACATACGAACAACTGAGGAGGAGGTGAAGAAGCTCTTAAGTGACCTTGACACTTCAAAGGCGATGGGACCGGACATCTCCCCATGGGTCCGTAGAGAAGGAGCAGAGATGCTGTGCGTGCCTCTAACCACAATCTTCAACACATCCCTTGAAACTGGGCAACTACCTAAGAAATGGAAGACAGCTAATGTAGTCCCCATATTTAAGAAAGGAAACAGAAATGAGGCACTAAACTACAGAGTTGTGTCTCTGACATGTAATGTGTGCAAAGTCATGGAGAAGATTATCAGGAGGAGAGTGGTCGAACACCTGGAACGGAACAAGATTATAAATGAAAACCAGCATGGGTTCATGGAAGGCAAAGCCTGTGTCACAAACCTTCTGGAGTTTTATGACAAGGTAACAGAAGTAAGACACGAGAGAGAGGAGTGGGTTGATTGCGTTTTCCTAGACTGCAGGAAGGCCTTTGACACAGTTCCCCACAAGAGATTAGTGCAGAAGCTGGAGGATCAGGCACATATAGCAGGGAGGGCACTGCAATGGATCAGGGAATACCTGACAGGGAGGCAACAACGAGTCATGGTACGTGAAGAGGTATCACAGTGGGCGCCTGTGACGAGCGGGGTCCCACAGGGGTCAGTTCTAGGACCAGTGGTATTTTTGATATATGCGAACGACATGATGGAAGGAATAGACTCTGAAGTGTCCCTATTCGCAGATGATGTGAAGTTGATGAGAAGACTTAAATCGGATGAGGATGAGGCAGGACTGCAAAGAGACCTGGACAGGCTGGACATGTGGTCCAGAAACTGCCTTCTCGAATTCAACCCTGCCAAATGCAAAGTCATGAAGATTGGGGACGGGCAAAGAAGACCGCAGACAGAGTATGGGCTAGGTGGACAAAGGCTACAGACCTCACTCAGGGAGAAAGACCTTGGGGTGACCAAAACACCGAGCACGTCACCGGAGGCACACATCAACCAATTAGCTGGTGCAGCATATGGGCGCCTGGCAAACCTGAGAATAGCGTTCCGATACCTTAATGAGGAATCGTTCGAGACACTGTACACTGTGTATGTTAGGCCCATACTGGAGTATGCAGCACCAGTCCGGAACCCACACCTGGTCAAGCACGCCAAGAAGTTAGAGAAGGTACAAAGGTTTGCAACAAGGCTAGTCCCAGAGCTCAGGGGAATGTTGTACGAGGAAAGGTTGAGAGAAATCGGACTGACGACACTGGAGGACAGAAGGGTCAGGGGAGACATGATAACGACATACAAGATGCTGCGGGGAATAGACAAGGTGGACATAGATAGGATGTTCCAGAGAGGGGACACAGAAACAAGGGGTCACAACTGGAAGTTGAAGACTCAGACGAGTCACAGGGACGTTAGGAAGTATTTCTTCAGTCATAGAGTCGTCAGGAAGTGGAATAACCTAGCAAGTGAAGTTGTGGAGGCAGGAACCATACACAGTTTTAAGAAGAGGTATGACAAAGCTCAGGAAGCAGAGAGGGAGAGGACCCAGTAGCGATCAGTGAAGAGGCGGGGCCAGGAGCTGAGTCTCGATCCTTGCAACCACAATTAGGTGAGTACAATTGAGTACACACACACACACACTCACACACACACACACACACACACACACACACACACACACACACACACACACACACACACACACACACACATACACAGTGGTAATTGCAGTGATGTATAACCCACTGCAGAACAGCAGGAGGCCAAGGCAAGCATATGATGAGAGTAATAGATGAGAGTAATAGACACACTGGCTGCAGTGGCCAGAAGGGCTCATGCAAGCAGGGCAAAGCTACTGATCATGGGTGACTTCAATCACAAGGAAATCGATTGGGAGAACTTGGAGCCACATTAGGGCCAAGAAACGTGGAGGGCTAAGATGATGGAGGTGGTACTGGAAAACTTCATCTACCAACACGTGAGGGACACTACCAGAGAGAAAGGAAAGGATGAACCAGCGAGACTGGGCCTAGTATTCACCTTGAGTAGTGCAGATATTGAGGACATCACATATGAAAGACCCCTTGGGGCCAGCGATCATGTGGTTTTAAGCTTCGAATACACAGTAGAGTTACAAGTGGAGGGGGAAGCAGGAAAGGCCGGGTGAATGAAGCCAAACTACAAGAAAGGGGGCTATGCGGGAATGAGGAACTTCTTGAACGGGGTTCAGTGGGACAGAGAACCGGCAGGGAAGTCAGTAAATGAGATGATGGAATATGTAGCAACAATGTGCAAGGAGTCTGAGGAGAGGTTTGTACCCAAGGGTAACAGGAATAATGAAAAAGCCAGGATGAGCCCATGGTTCACCCAAAGATGCAAGGAGGCAAAACCAAGTGTGCTAGGGAATGGAAGAAATATAGAAGGCAAAGGACCCAGGAGAATAAGGAGAGCAGTCGTAGAGCCAGAAACGAATATGCACAGATAAGAAGGGAGGCCCAACGTCAATATGAAAATGACATAGCAGCAAAAGCCAAATCTGACCCGAAGCTCTTATACAGCCACATCAGGAAGAAAACAACCGTCAAGGACCAGGTAATCAGGCTAAGGAAGGAAGGAGGAGAGACAACGAGAAATGACCGTGAAGTATGTGAGGAACTCAACAAGAGATTCAAAGAAGTGTTCACAGAGGAGACAGAAGGGGCTCCAGAAAGACAGAGAGGTGGGGTACACCACAATGTGCTGGACACAGTACACACAACCGAGGAAGAAGTGAAGAGGCTTCTGAGTGAGCTAGATACCTCAAAGGCAATGGGGCCAGATAACATCTCTCCATGGGTCCTGAGAGAGGGAGCAGAGGCGCTATGTGTACCCCTAACAACAATATTCAATACATCTATCGAAGCAGGGAGATTGCCCGAGCCATGGAAGACAGCAAATGTGGTCCCAATCTTTAAAAAAGGAGACAGACATGAAGCACTAAACTACAGACCAGTGTCACTGACATGTATAGCATGCAAAATCATGGAAAAGATTGTCAGGAGAAGAATGGTGGAACATCTAGAAAGGAATGATCTCATCACCAGCAGCCAACATGGTTTCAGAGACGGGAAATCCTGTGTCACAAACCTACTGGAGTTCTATGACATGGTGACAGCAGTAAGACAAGAGAGAGAAGGGTGGGTGGATTGCATTTTCTTGGACTGCAAGAAGGCGTTTGACACAGTACCACACAAGAGATTAGTGCAAAAACTGGAGGACCAAGCAGGGATAACAGGGAAGGCACTGCAATGGATCAGGGAATACTTGTCAGGAAGACAGCAGCGAGTAATGGTACGTGGCGAGGTGTCAGAGTGGGCACCTGTGACCAGCTGGGTCCCACAGGGGTCAGTCCTAGGACCAGTGCTGTTTCTGGTATTTGTGAACGACATGACGGAAGGAATAAACTCCGAGGTGTCCCTGTTTGCAGATGACGTGAAGTTGATGAGAAGAGTTCATTCGATTGAAGACCAGGCAGAAATGCAAAGGGATCTGGACAGGCTGCAGACCTGGTCCAGCAATTGGCTCCTGGAGTTCAATCCCACCAAGTGCAAAGTCATGAGGATTGGGGAAGGGCAAAGAAGACCGCAGACGGAGTACAGTCTAGGGGCCTGAGACTACAAACATCACTCAAGGAAAAATATCTTGGGGTGAGTATAACACCAGGCACATCTCCTGAAGCGCACATCAACCAAATAACTGCTGCAGCATATGGGCGCCTAGCAAACCTCAGAACAGCATTCCGACATCTTAATAAGGAATCGTTCAGGACCATGTACACCGTGTACGTTAGGCCCATATTGGCATATGCGGGACCAGTTTGGAACCCACACCTAGCCAAGCACGTAAAGAAACTAGAGTATATTGTAGGCTTGGTGCGTCTTTGTTAATAATAATAACAATGCATATTGTAATGTAGTTGTGTAATCTTGCTTAACATAGGTGCATGGGATATAATGCATAGAGGATGAGGGACAGTTTGTGTCAGCACAAAGTTA